ATGCTTTGTCATTTCCTGTTCTTCTATATTCTTTTTATAATTTTATAATTTCAATTTTTATTATACATAATCCTTTTATTTCAATGCATTTTTAAGGTTTTTATCCATTATAAAATTTCATCAGTGGATATAATGTAAAAATAAAATTATAGAAATAAAAATAAGAATATGCAGCACAACTGGAATAATTTTCCTTCTTTATTTTAAACATTATATTTATCATTTAACGATGAATTTTTTACTTTCTAATCCGAGATTCAATTATAAAGATATAGGTATAAGAACAAAATTCTTCGTCAAATTTAAAAAAATCTGTCACACATACAACCGATATACAATAAAAGAGAAAAAAGAACAAATAGAAAAATAAAAGATGACGCTAATTACGCTGACGTAATGTGCGAGATGTAATTAAATTAAATAAAAGTCGAAATAACAAAAAGTTAACAGCACGAGTTCAAAAAACGTCGATGTTTCACTCCAAATTTGGTTCTTTTTAGAGACAAAATAAAGGAGATAATAAGCGAATAAGGACATCACATAATATTGGAATGCAAAATCATCGTTAAAATAAAGTAAGCAAAAAATTTATCGAAAGTTCAATTTCTCTATTTACTCTTATAATATCTGTCAATTCATCAAAATCCTTTTTCGTAGTTTAGTTATAAATACTTATGTAATTATTCTGTTTACGAATATTCGCGCCATGCATAGCCAAACATTCTGCAGACGTTATGCATAAGTCGACGCAGTTGTTAAAGCGTAGAAATAATACAGAAATTAAATGTAATTATAGAAATTAAACGTAAAATGTAAATATAATATACATAATCCGCGAACGTTTAATCCTCTAATAAAGCGATCTTTAATGCTTTACCGATAAAAATGTTTGCGTTTACATTTACATTGTTTAATTTCTACAATATATTATTTCTAATTGCATCAACTTATATTGACAATCCTTTTTTTTAATGTATTCTTGAAGGTATAATTCTTATTTAATTGTAACATCGACGTTGTACATAAAGAAATATTCTGATGTTATACGGAAAGAAACGATAATTGTCCACCAATTATCCCGGTTCTTTCGTACCATCTCGAGATGGATCGATCTATAAGCGAACGCGTGCGTTTCCGTATACGCTGCGATATCATCACGAGCAGAAAAGAATAAAAATCCTCACGTAAAAGATTGGATACGTTTGGTTCGCCATATTTTTCTATCTTAAGAAGGATCTGCTTAAGATAGAACGAAATATCCACGCATCTTCTATCTTATGCATCTATCTTATTCTATCTTAAGTAGGCTTAAAAATATGACCAATCAGAAGTTGTCTAAACGGTGTCTAATCTCTTACTTGAGAATCTCTAGAGAGGAGTAGATTGTAATCATCTTGAAAACGAACAACTAAATAGATCTTCGAGCTCTCCAGATATGTTTTCAGGATTCTACACGTATCCGCATTCGCAATAAGCCAGCGAAGCGATAATTTGAGAGACGAATTCCTTTGAGGAATTCAAACACGAGGAACGTCTTCGATCTTCAACGTCGTGTAAAATCTCGCATCGAATGAAATAACGTCAAATTGAAAAGACAAAAGCGTCAAAGACGCATCGTAAAGAGGCATTTATGTATAGCGGCGTACACAATGAGATTTTAAAGCGTAAAATTCAAGCTTTAAAGGGATCATAAAGTCGTTTGTTTTACCGATTTTGTAAGACTTGCACATGTACCAGTTACGTATCATTGGGCAGTATTCATAGTTTTTATTTTATTATTAAGACCCTCTTAAGTAATGTCTTAAAATGTTAATACAGCTCTCTTCATGACATCTTAAGACTATACCTACTTAAGATGATCCTAAATATAAGATCCAATTATGAATACCTAAGATACATCATTACACACTATTACTTCAATATTGTACGCACACATATATACACTAAAAGAAAATGATGTTATATCAACAGCATTATTTTCATTGAAAATGATTTTGTTAATTCAATAACGCTATTAATGAAACGAATACGTCATGCTCTTGTTTTTATCAAATTTTGTTTCATTAATATTGTATTTTGTGTGTGTGTGTGTGTGTATGTGTGTGTGTGTGTGTGTGTGTGTGTGTGTGTGTGTGTGCGTGTGTGTGTCAATAAAATTATTTTCAATTAAAATAATACTGTTAATATAACATCATTTTTTCCGGTGTACAAATTTCCTAACTAACTATTCTTCATATTAGATATCTAAGCCCAATTCTAAGAACTCAACATTGTTTGTTCGTATAATCTCTCTCTCTCTCTCTCTCTCTCTCTCTCTCTCTCTCTCTCTCTCTCTCTTTCTCTAGTCCAAACCAAAATACATATACAAAGTATACAAAACTTGTCAATACTGACATATTAGGGAGCGTCTCTTAAAAGACACTTCCTTACTTCTTGGAAATTAACTATTGCACTTTATTAAGACTGATAAAAATATAATCTATTTAGATAATAAAAAAAGTAAAAACTCATAATTCATATGTTTGTGGCTTGTTTCTATACAAAATCGGCTAAAAACAAATTCTACAATTACAAAAGTAAAATTCTTATAATTTTTCTTTTGCAAATTGCGTAGTTTAGATAATAATGGCTATATCAGGCCTGTTCAATTTGAGCTCCCCCCCGAAGTCAAAACGCGAAGCCATCGACACAAAGAAATTCAATGTAGATAAGATTTCGGGGAGTATAAAGTATTGATACGCATCTGAGTGACGCTTATCAACATTTTACAGTCCCTGAAATCTTACATTGAATTTTTTTGTATTTTTTGTATTGCGTTTTGGCTCCAAAGTTCAATTGGACAGGCCTATATTATTGGTAATATTACATCGTTTTACATGTTGGCAGTTTTCTAAATTAGTTTTATTTATATTATTTTCTTTTTCGTTTTTTCATATGGTTTTATTTAAGTATAAATTAGGAGTGCAGCGTAAACCGGCACAGTTATACAAAACAGACCACAAGCTAACATAATTTTTACAGTATTGCGTTATAGTGTCCAATAGCCCAATTACAAAAATTTCAAAACAGAAAATAATCGTATATTTCTGGGAAAACTCTAAAAAAAAACTGTCGCATTATAGTATATTGCGTCTTGCAGAACAGCATAAAGTATGCATATAAATTAATAAAAAATGTTTCATATCGAAGTAAAAACTTTTTACTGGACATTATAATTTGACTGAATTTTCCGATAATTTATGTAAGAGTGTTTGTTATTTTACATTGAAAATGACCCGATCGATGTCGAAACGTTTGTATATATACGATTATTAAATATACATCTTACATTATAATTGACTCGTTGCCCTTCTTTTATTTATTGAAGTAAAAAAATTCTAAAAAAATCTTATATACATTCACTTATAGATATTTTATACAGATGACTTGTGAAAGAAAAAGAATCGAAATATGTGGCATTACTGCCTATTGTGTCAGTTTTGAAGCCTATTTTGTCAAATATTTATTTTTGCTCATCTTACAAATTAATTATTGGAAAGTTGTAGAGTATTATAAAACTAACTTATGTGTTATCCGATATAAATTTTCTAATTTATATTTATGTTTTTAAAGTTTTAATTGTAGCTCTTGTTTAAGCAAAATATTGTCTAGAAGTATTTATATTTCTGAAGTTTGAATTATATTTTTTGTTTAACATATATTATCAAAAAATAAAAAATGGTTTGTCGATATCGATGACCTTCTACATAAAGCAAATATTGTTACGAACTGATATCAGAAGCCGATAAGAAAACTAATTTTTCAACATTTTTAGCGTAAAGTCGACTAGTTTGTACAGTATCGTACTTAATTCATTTGTTGAAAATTTAATGATTTTTATATTTGTGTAAAGGCAATTAGGAAAATATTTATTTGAAAAATAATCGGTAAAACAAACGACTTTAGGATTACTTAAATTTTAAGCCGTAAGAAATTAACCAATTATAATTGGTTATTCTCTCTACATTCGACTGTGATTAAACAATTTCTTACGATTTATGCCCGTTTCAATAGTTTAATTTTAATCTCAGTTCAATTAACTTCTTTTTCCAGTTCTAATGACCATTTCTACCAATTTATTTTAATTAACTTTAATCTCGATTTAACTTCCTCTTCATCTTTTTCTAATTCTTAGAACTAAAAAAAGATGAAAAGTAAGTTGAACCGAGATTAAATTAAACTTAATCTACATTGGCAGAAACGGGCATTGAATCTTAAGTCTTAAAATCTCGCTTAACGCTTTAAAATCTCATTGTAGACGCTCCTTAAGATCGACTTGAGAATAAAAATTTTTTTTCGCGAGTTTAGAAATCTCACGTATATCATGTTTTATCGCATTCAGTAGATATCACTTGTCGCGTACCGCGACGGTAGATAGGAAAGCCAAGCGAGCAGCGAAAACAGTAGAGATTTACTTCTAATCTCGACGTCGGCTTGGTAGTCTTGATACGCGCTGCAGTAGGATAAAAATATCCTCGATGAAGGGACGCGTCCCTTTTCTTTTGAATACACGCGCGAACAGCTGACGAAAATAACAAACGCGTACAGACGCTACTTCAAATGTCATCTTCGCTCACGAGGCTCTCAAGTGATTGTTTAATTACTCACCGATTCGTCGCGTCGCATCGTCCGTCATACAGAGAGAATACTCAATATAAAAAAACGCTCCGTCACAGATGTTTAACAAAAAATTAGTAAATCCCGGGTGCCGGCTTTAAATCGCGACAACTATCAGACACTCTCGGGGCGCGTAAACACGACACCTGCCGCATATGCGATGACAAAGGCGAAAGGGGGCCGTTTTCTCCAGATCGCCGCCAGATCAGATTGAGCGCGGAGAGGAGTGACGGGGAACGCGGAGGAGCCGGACCGGCCGATGGCGAAGCCAAACCAAACGAAGCCGAGATGAAGCGAGCTAACGAGAACGGCTCGCGTACATATATGAAATAAGTTCCACTCACCTAACCTTCCAGTGTTGACGGTCCTGCGGCCGGTTTGCGCAGCGCGGCGCGTACCGTCCCAGACTTGCGGCACGCAGCAGGCGAGGACGCGCGTCCTTGCACGCGCCCGATGCGGGATGCACGTATCGGGGAGAACGCACGAGTTACGCGACGGCGGAGGCATCAATGGATAGTAGGAGAGACGCGTGAGTTAACGGTACGTCTTGGCCATGTCGGGAGAGGAGCGAAAGGGAGTGGGTGGGAGGGGTGGAAGGGAGGAAAGCGGAGAAAGAGAGCGAGAGGACACGAGAGTGGGGAGGAGGGAGACGCCGCGCGTCGTAAGTGCGCGCGCGCGCGCGCGCATCGCACGCACTGAATTGCGCGGAGAGACCTCCAAGAACAATCGACACTCTCGACATTCTGTACCTCGCCCGTCATCCGCTGACGATCGCGTCACTCTTCGATGACATATCGAGGCAAACGAACTGTCTTTTATTCTTTTTCTTTTCCTTCTGACATTCCTACGTCACCCACGACGCCAAACGCACCGACGCACTGTGGCATTTGGCATTTACAGCTGCGACTTTTCACCGCCGAAAACGTGTCAGTGGCGCCATCGCGCGACCATCTGCGAAAATTGCATATATATAACTTGTCGATAAATTATCCGTACATATATCATGGATAATTGCAAAATATTTGTATTATCGACGGTGGAAGTAAATATTTAAACCGATCGATAACATAAATATCTAAATTATTTTTATATATAATACAATGTTAAATTTATACAAATGCTTCATAAATAAATATGTATAATTTACACACTAAATAGAGTGATCACTTGAAAACACCTTATTACGACCTTGTGACGTATTTAACTTTTCTGCATTCATTTATTTTTAAAATTTCAATTTTTTATGTAGCAATAAATGTTACAAGATTTTAATGAGTCTAACATGACAATGTAAAACATGAAATTTTGGAAGTAATAAAATTACAAAACCTGTGAAAACCATTTTCAAACAAGTGTAACATCGGTAACAAGTGTAACAACCAAACCACGCAGTACAGTAATCACCAGTTCTCGTCACACGTCGCTTGAACGTCAGTTCTGATGAACTCGCTCGTGACGGACGCGTCTCGACTCGGGTGCTATAGTTATTGTATATTTTTGAAAGTGGTACCGACTTTGACCGAGCATTGAAACACACTTAATCATCCCGCGGTCTTGGACGACCCGTTCGGTCGTCCTGACGCACGTCCTTGCGGCGTGACGACGCCGTAGACGCAGGCGCCTGGTGTTCGAACGGGCTTAGCCATTTTCGCGGGTGTTGCATCATTTTTTTAACACACGGAAAACAATCATAAACGTGATCTGGCCGTATCGACCTCATATTTGTTTGGAGGCGGGAGCCATAATTAATTAAGAAGAAGAAGTCGCTTGAACGTGACCCCATTCAAATCGCACACGTGTTTGCATCTATCACAAGTAAGTCGTACAGTTGTCGCATAACAATCCCAGTATTACGTCTCCCAATTCAGGAGAGACAAATAAAGAAGTCGCGAATATTAACGACGACTGGAATCTAACAATAAATAATTCCGATAAAGAAAAGAGGAAACTAACCTCAAATTCCAATGGCGTTCGGAATACTATCCGAAAAGAAATAAAGGAGGCAGAATATAACCACCTTGCCTGGAAACATATACTTAACCAAGCAATTCTAAAGAAAAATAATCCTATTCTGATAAAAAAGATGCTTAAGAGTAAAAAGTATTTTACACCTAACCTAAGTACGGCCAGAAAAAAATCTAAAGCTACAGGAAAAAAGGAGACCGAGTACAATACTCCCGGGACATCATAAGACATGGAAATTAATAATTCGACAATAAACAGAGGAATTACTAGCGGAAAATAAAGCTTTAAAAGCGGAAATACAAAAACTATTAAAACAAATGGAAGAAGACAGTCGAAAACGAAATATATTAAGTAATATATCCACGCATAACAGACTGGAGGCATTAAACGATATTTCCACAACAAGTCCATATCTGGAGGAAGAAATAGAATGTCAAATGTCGGAGGACTTCCTAACCTATCTAAAAAGAAAAAATAATCAGCAGGATACACGAACACCAATAAGAAAAAAATTGAAAAAGACATTTATATACCCGAGGATGACGACAGTCACTACAACGACAAACATGCATCCAACCAAACAAAGGATTCACAACATACTACCAAGAGGACGAAGAAGATGGATAAGCCTCCACCTATAAACATCCTGTATCAAGACCCAAGGGACACAACAACTCTACTAAAATCAAAATTGAAGGACTTAGACAATTTTTATATTAAACATATTAATAGTGGTAAGATTTCACTACAAGTCGATACACTAGAAAATTATAAACAGGTAAAACAATTATTATCTAAATGCAATTCTAAATTTTACCTATACTTCCAAATTAGAAAAACTGATAACAATATTATTGAAAGAATTAGATTATTCATATCAAGAAAAAGAGGTGTTAGAAGAATTACAATCCCAGAACATCACAAACGTAAATTTCATAAAAGTAATAAGATTTACAACAAGCAAATCAAAGCAAAATAAAAAAATATTACCCATCTTTATAGTACAAATATCACCTGAAAGTGAGATTAAAAACTTATAGAAAATAAAATATATATTCCACCAGCTAATACACTGGGATAAACTGATGCGAAGGGATGTAATTCAATACAAAAAATGTCAACATATAGGGCACGCAGCCTCAAACTGTAACTTGCCATACCGATGCGTTAAATGTGACGTTAAACATAGGCCGGGGGAATGTAGCTGTTTGCCGGGTACACAAGTAGATAGGTCAAATTTATACCTGCGACCTATTTTTCTTCTTTTTTAAATTTTTCACGTTTGGAATAGTCATGCTATACCGCCATGGAATACTGTCATCATTACTATCTAAATTGCGGGTATCTTAGTCTCTTATCGTTACTGTGTCTAGGATAGTGATATATTATTGGAATGTTTTTACAATCTTGTATGTATCCTTTTTTATCAAGGTAAAGAAATGTTTTCGGAGGAATATATCCAGTGGTAAGTGTTTTTTCATAATACATAAGAGTTCGGAAAATACAAGGCCCCGTGAATCAGGCTGTTTTAAAATATTTCGCTCGCTTGTAAAAAGTGATCTCGCGTTAGGCTTTTTAAGATTATAAAGTTATCAATATGTGGGACTTTTGCAGAGTTATATAAAGTTTCATTACTCATATATTTCGTATAGTCCGATTCTGCTGATCGATTCATATTCATACAGGCGCGTAAGCTTTTTCTTTCGAAACTTCTTATTTTCTCCATAAGAGAAGCACTAATGTTGTATCATGTAGAACAGCCGTATGTGATTAATGGCCTTATCAATAGTTGATAGCATATTAATTTGACTTCCGAATGTAGGTATTTAGAATAGAAGAGTCTTTTGAGATTCATAAAAATATTATACTATATCAGACATCCATAAGTAATTATGCTTAATTTTTTTGCACTTGTTTACTTTTAAAATTTCAATTTTTTTATGTAGCAATAAATATTACAAGAATTTTAACAAGTCTAATATTGCTGTGAAAAATGAAATTTTAAAAGTATAATAATAAAATCATAAAGCCCGTGAAAACTATTTTCAAACAACTCTAACACCGGACAACGTCCAAACCACGCTGAAACCACCAGTTCTCGTCCGATCACTGAAGTTAAGCAGCGTTGGGCACGGTTAGTACTTGGATGGGTGACCGCTTGGGAACACCGTGTGATGTTGTCTTTTTTTTTTCAAATTAGTGGGAGATTCTATAAAGAAGTTTACATCGATTATACTATCCCTTTGAGCGCGTCATACTATTTAATATTAAGTAATATTTTAGGCATATTCTTAGAATATTAAATGTAACGTTTTAATATTTTATTAAAATTATACAGTATTAAATAATATTCCGGAAATATTAATGTATGGTGGTTTTTTTTTCTTCCAATACCATACAATTATTAAAAGTAACATTATTTAATGTTACTTTTAATAATTGTATGGTATTGAATTTTAACAAGTCTAATATTGCTGTAAAAATGAAATTTTTTAAGTAATAAAATTACCAAGCCAGTGAAAACCATTTTCAAACAAATGTAACATCGGACAACGTCCAAACCACGCTGAAACCACCAGTTCTCGTCCGATCACTGAAGTTAAGCAGCGTTGGGCACGGTTAGTACTTGGATGGGTGACCGCTTGGGAACACCGTGTGATGTTGTCTTTTTTTTTTCAAATTAGTGGGAGATTCTATAAAGAAGTTTACATCGATTATACTATCCCTTTGAGCGCGTCATACTATTTAATATTAAGTAATATTTTAGGCATATTCTTAGAATATTAAATGTAACGTTTTAATATTTTATTAAAATTATACAGTATTAAATAATATTCCGGAAATATTAATGGATGGTGGTTTTTTTTCTTATAATATCATACAATTATTAAAAGTAACATTATTTAATGTTACTGTAATATTGTATACGAATCTTTACGCCTTTGACGCCCTGTGCTGGATTATGCTTTCGCACCCCAGAACAAGAATTGCTTAGTCTCTGAAACACCAATCGCCCCCCAATGGCAATGAACCAGCGATTAAAAAAAAAGAATTAAATAAGAAATTATCGGGACTAAACAATATATCGAACATAGTTTTAAAAAATATACTCCCGGTACTAATATACATATATGTATATATAATAATTAGTTTTAGTAATCTGTAAAATTACTCTCTGTTCCTAGATAACTGAAAAACAGCGAAAATAGTCGCCATACTAAAAAAAAAAGAGAAGGATAAAACCTCTCCGACGAGCTATAGACCTATTAGCCTGCTACCTAATATTTTTAAGTTATTCGAATATATATCGTTAACGAGATCGCATTACGACAATCTATAAAACAAACAACATTATTCCGATTATTCCGAGGAACAAAATTGAGTTATTCAGGATTTAGAGAGTTATTAATCGAAGACAAAAATTCTAATTTTAGATCTGTTCTGATACATTGAGCTCGTTCTTTAGACATAACAGTCGCTGAGTATTAATTGCGGGCCATTTCCTTCGGAGGTGGTGTATTTTTGTAAGTAGCTTATTTTTCTTTTTTTGTAGTTTTTTTATCATTTATGTAAGAGTCAATTAAATCTTTTTCTT